TTCCAACATTAAACCGAAAATGAGAGTTTTTGTAGTTATGCATGAAATGATTCTTCCTTCTTCTTCCGGCTCTCGGCGAGTGCAGACGTGTTTCTCTCTGGTCCCTCCCCTGCCCTTGTTGCCTGCTTGCTATCTCTGTCCTGTCGTATCTCAGAGCCTCTTTCTGCATTTTCACTTAATAAGCCTAACATCAACCATGGATTTGGTCGGCTGGTCTCTCAACGCAATTGACAAAATCTTCTCTACCCAAAGACAATCTGCAGGGGCTGCAACTTGTCCAGCCGGGACTCACCCTGCGGGTTTCACGATGGATGCCTGGAGGAGCTGGAGGGTTTCATGCCTTTCAGTTCTCTCCGTGGAGGATGTCGAGGACCTATACCTATTTGGATTCATGATAACTGGGTTCCTGCTGATTGGAGTTGGCGGATACCTAGGTTTTTGAGAAATTCGGAGGCTGATGGCAACTGGTGGCAAGCTGCCTGTCGAGCCGGTTTACCGGAGCATCAACACTCTGACTCAAACCTTGTGCGAGTTGTCTCGCAAACATGATGCCGAGGTGAGCAAACAGGAGGCTCGGTGGAGCATTTAGGATGCTCAGTGGAGCAAAATGGGGACGATGTCTGACAGCAGGAGGGTGATGGGGAACACCTTGGAGAAGTTGGTGGTTCGGATGGAGGGAATTTAACACAATTCGGCTGAATTGGATCGCCATTGAGAGACCTTCTGAGGACTTAAGGCAGACAAAACACGCTCTGTCTGGAAACTGCAGACGGACGCTTTGCCCACCCCACCCCCCTCCCTCCTCCCAAGCAGGAGTATGGGCATCACAAGGACTAATTTCATTGTCAAGTTTTCTGGCCTTTACAAATCACCTTAGCTTCTGCCCAAACTTGACAAGGGCTTGCTCCCATCAAAGAAATCCAGGACCAACTCTTCTCAGTGTCATCTTTTCATTTTATTTCTCTTTTCTCTTTTTTTTCTTTAAATCACTGTACTTTTCAATACATGACACCCAAGCAGGTTGAAAACCAGTGGTATTTCTGCAGGAGCTTGAAGATGAGGTCTTTGTTTGTAGAGATTCTCTCAACACAGGTGTGCTGAGTAGACTTATAGGCTCTTGAAGGCCTGAGTGAGAGACGGGTGTGCTTGATTTTCTGTAGGCCACGTGCCAGCTGGGTGGAGATGGTATTGCACTCACACAAATACACCAATTGCTGTTTTAACTTGACATTCATCTAGCCTGTGGATGTGGACTCCACCTTGCTTACACGTACACACAAGTACAGATTTCATGCATTCCTTGGACTCACTGCCTCTCTGTTACCTTTCCCCTTCCTTCCAACCGCCCCATCCCTCCCTTCCTATGTTTCCTTGATGTTGTGATTTGACTGTATCTGTGCTTTAGTGTACTGAGGTGTTTTTTTTTAATCACTGTTACGTCCCCTGTAGGGGCCTTTTTTTCCCTCTTCCTGCAATCGCTTTCCCAATGTATTTTTTGTTCTGAAGAAAAATTGGTGCGCCCTCCTGTGTGGCTGCCCTCAGTCTTCCCGAACTGGTGTGTCTATGTGTTTTGTTTGTTTTATCTTGGTACGGGCTGTACTGGAAGTCAATTTCTCCCTGGAGATCAATAAAGTATATTCAATTCAATCAATTTGCATATCTATCATCCCCCTCTCTCAGTTGCAGCTCCACATCATGTGAGAACTCTGGAATTGGGAAAGGTTCAGGCCATTTAACAGAATCCCCACTACTCAGTGAAGGGAGGCTGCCTGTGTCCAGAGTAGAATCAGAGGCGTCATCAGCTGTAAGCAATACTTTCAAAGTTCCACGGTCCACAGGAAGGTCTCTAATGTCCGTCAGGTTTCACAACTGTTTATTAAAATCAGGATCCTCAAACAGCTAAATGAATCCTCCTCTCAGACCAAGGTTGGTTTGCAACACCTGGTATAGTTCCTTGACACTTGAAGGGATTGCTTCAACTGAAAGACATCTGGTGTCAGTTTCTGGCACTACAACACGAAGAAGCATTGTAGAGCACTTTCACCTGGAGGGGGAAAAAAAGAGAAACAAATTAAGTTTAAGTTAAAAAAAATCAACAAATGGTATTAGGATCACTTCAGACTGCAGACAACAGTTGACCAAATAAGAATATTATTTTGTTTTTGCTCTTTTTTTTTCCATAACCATGAATAGCATGTGGAATCTATTTTGATTTTGACCACATTTTTATGCTGCCCTAACCAGATACCAGATACGGCATCCAAGCTGAGGACACAGCTTGGATGCCTGCGGTATGCACTAGGGTGCCTTTGGACACCAGGAATATCCACCACACTCCCATCATGCGACAGATCCAGCAATGTCATTTTTATAATTTTTTCAATTGTTGTTTTCTTTCTCCTGACACTTAAAGCTCCACTGTCTTGCAACAGCATCAAATGTTACCAGTGTCCTCTCAAAATGACAATACGTCTCATTTGTGAAGATACAAAGGTGCCACCTTTTAGAATACACCTCATCCCCACCTCACGTCAAACAGTGGCATGTGTAGTGTTATTGTATGTATTTTATCATTTTTAATCAAAGGTTGTGGGAGAGGAGTGGAAACAAGTTTTCCTGCATTAATACGTGGTCTCAATACAATAAACATGACACGGCATGTTCCGCTGTATCTTACCCCTAAGCAGTGGCAAAAGCAGTGGCATCTCACCCATTACTAAAAAAATAGTGAACTTGCATTGACATTTTGTTTGTTTGTTTGTTTTTAACTGGAACGGTCACAAGCTAATTATAACCAAATAGTCCCATGCGAGGAAGAAGTGTGTCCTGGTTTTGTTAAATGTGAATCACATAGACGATAGGAATTCATATACTAAATTGACTTATTCCTGGATTGGCCAGATCCGGGAATATTAATTAATACATTGATTATATAGAAGATTCTGAGTTTGGTCAGAAATCAAAGCTTCTCGTTAGAGAGTTTTCCGAGAATATCTCGTTGTTGAATTAGGGTCGGAATGCTTTAGCTGGATCTTGTTTGCCATCCCTACAGAGAGCCAGACATTCTACATCCATATGCCTAAGGTCCGTTCTTCAAGTGAAGGCCTCATGGTGCACCATGTCTAAAACAAAGTATTTTGGTATGGCTTCAAAAAAGAGATTCTTCTGAGTACAGATCAATGGAACTAATAGGAATAGAATATATTTTCACATTCACACAGGACAGTGGGTAGAGTGCGTGTCCTGTCATCAAGGCTGAGGTATGCCCGAGGCGAATGGCCTGGGACACTGAACCTTTTTTAAAAAAAAGAGAACCGCCCAAAATGTTCACTCCAAAGGTGGAATCAAGAGAGAATGTGTTGCTTGATTAAATTGGTTTAAACAAGCAACTCCATGAAGAGGACCCATTAGGTGCACCTCTCTAGAATTAGCTGTGAAAGAAGCTCTCTGATTTAACCCTCTGTTTGGGCCATTATTGATAACGATAGAGTCTACAACTCCTGCCTTATCTTTGTAAATGAGACCAGTGTTGAATTAACTCTTGAATGTGTCTTCTTGATCAAAGTTTAAATCATAGCTCTATAAAGATGAGTAGCGCAGGAGTGGGAAATTAACCCGTCCAGAGAAAAACATCGCATTGACTTAGGGCTGCATTCAGTGGGTAATTGATGAGATCTCCATACAGACACAAAGTGTCGTTCAGATCCAGATACTTTTCTCCATCTCCGGGGATGAAAAACTGAACTGGACCACTGCCTGTAATTGCTGACAGAGATAACATTTCTGTGTAAACCTTATCTACAATAGCTAGATGGGTCTTGGGGGCTGAAAATATATCCAGCTCTGCCAAGGTGCATTTTGGGGATTTCTGAAAAGAAACACCATGGCTCTTTTCCAAAAGAGCCATGGTCTTTTTCATTTTAATAATAAGATAAATAAAAAAACTGGATTCATAACTGGGGCGGCACAGTGGTGTGGTGGTTAGCACCGTCGCCTCCCAGCAAGAAGGTTCTGGGTTCAAGTTTCAAGGGACCCAGGACCCCTCTGGGTGGAGCTTGCATGTTCTCCCTGTGTCTTTCCGGGTTCTCCGGCTTTCTCCCACAGTCCAAAAACTTGCGTGTTAGGTTGATTGGACATTCCAAATTGCCCTTAGGAGTGAATGTGAGTGTGTGTGGCTCTTTGTCCTTGTATGCCTTGTATGTCTTGCGGACTGTCCAGGGTGTACCCAGCCTCTTGCCCGTTGACCACCGGGATAGGCTCCAGTTCTCCCCGCGACCCCATCAGGGAATAAGCGGTAATGATAATGGATGGATGGATTTATAACTGTTAAATATGTCCTTGCTCCCCACGGACTTCCTCCCACTTGCTTTGCTTCTCCCAACTGATTTTTTTCTTCTTACATGGTTCAAGTATTTGTGAATGCCACACACGTTCTACAGGAGGCCTCTTCCTCGCTCTTCTTGACAAGACCATAACTCCTGATCCCTGTTGATTATTCACTCCCTCATGGAGACCCGCTATGTTAGCCATGGATTTAACTATGACATCCGAGGCAATGTTTGTGGCTGCCTTCTTCAGATGAGGTTTAGCAATAGCAAAACGTCTTTTAACTTAACGTGGAACAAAATTAAATAATTTTGAAAATATTGATCTAAGTTCATTCCTTAACCAGGTGAATGTGATGTGCAAGGGTTGCAAAGGGGTTTTCTCCTTAAAAAGGGCTATACAACTTGAGGTATATATATTAGTAATGTAGTAGCATTCCTTTCCTCAAGGGGGCATTGTTCGCGCTCAAGCGCATAGCTTGCCAAGACGCTAGAAAGGAAGTGGCAGAACCACGAGGTGGCTGGTTGCCGTGGTGTGCAAAGGTGAATACGCTATAAACTTAGGTAAGGTCTAAAAATGGTTATAAGAGTTAGCATCTGAGATAATGATTTAGTTAAAAGAAATAAGATTTATCAA